TAAAAGCAATCTGAGAGTGGCTTCATTGAAATGCTTTAATTGAAAAACATCTTGGCAGCATTCAGACAGCAAGTTGCATAATGTAGGCAAGATCAGATAACATTTCTCATTTTAACAAAACTCTTAGAGGAACTCATCACTATGCGGAGCTCATAATGTCACAATAGGAGTCACGTTAAAGGAAGATTTTTGTCCTTGACTGGGATTCTCATATGGAAAACTCGTTTCTTTAGACACTTACTGTTACTATAAAGGCATAAGGGAGCAAAAAATGTAAATACATCCGTGAAAGTAAGCACAGCATTGTGTGCCCTCTTACATGATGCTGCACAGAGGAATTTTTCATTGCTTATTTCTTCTCTGCTTCTTAGGGCTTGTTAAAATTACTCGAAGGCACAATAGTAAATGTTCCAGAAAAGAATTCTCGTAAACTCCGTGGAGAAACGGTGCAGGTCGACACAACGAACATCCTCTTTGTAGCTTCTGGTGCTTTTAATGGTCTTGACAGAATTATCAGCAGGAGGAAAAATGAAAAAGTGAGTGCATCAGGCTGTACCTGAGCTGAAAGATTACCGTTCACAGTACTGACTTCTAAAGGTCTTGCTATATTTGTAGACACACTGAATTTGTTTGTTTGAACAAATGGTGCTAAAAACTGTCATTATCTTAAAATACCTGGTCATGCAGTTCACTCTTTCATATATTGGTGTCTGGGGACAGAGTTCTGGCTGCAGCTTTCTGGAAGAATGTGGACCCTGTTTCTAATTTGACTGAAATATTGTTCACGTTAATGTAGGTTTTCACATAAACATATTTGCCTGCATTTCCTTCACTTATGAAGTGTCACTGGTATTTGTAAACTGACCAGGACACATCACTAACCTTCTTTATTTTAAGAAAAGCTCTTAGGCTCATGTATTGATCCTTCACTGAGGTTCAATGTTATAAGAAACTGTGTGCAGGGGGTCTAATTTTATTATAAGTGATTTCTTGAGCTTGAATTAATATGTAATGGCATCAGTCAGTGCAGATTTTTTAGTACACATGGAAAGTGATTTATTTACATCAAGAAAACTCAGTTATTGCAGTTCTGTAGCAGAACCATGTTTGTTTTGCAGTATCTAGGATTTGGGACACCATCTAACATGGGGAAAGGCAGAAGGGCCGCAGCAGCGGCTGATCTTGCCAACATAAGTGGGGAGTCGGATCCACAGGAAGATATTGAGGAGAAGGATCGCCTGCTGCGCCATGTGGAAGCCAGAGATCTCATAGAGTTTGGCATGATTCCTGAATTTGTGGGACGTTTGCCTGTGGTGGTTCCTCTGCACAGCCTGGATGAGAAAACCCTCGTACGGATTCTCACGGAGCCCCGGAACGCTGTGGTCCCTCAGTACCAGGCTCTGTTCAGCATGGACAAGGTTGGAATCTTTATTTGATGACTCTTCAGTATTCGTGTTATAAATACAGTGGTGTTTCCAGTAATGCTTGCGCTCAACACACTGAGTTATAAATGAAATTATTAACTGAACTTACCGTTTTTCTCTTTGTAGTGTGAATTAAATGTAACTGAGGATGCACTGAAGGCTATAGCCAGACTGGCCCTGGACAGAAAAACTGGTGCCAGAGGTCTTCGATCTATAATGGTGAGTAAATTAAGTCTTACATAGAGTAAATTAAGCTCCCTGGATTTGTGTGCCAGTTTTCAGTCAAAACTTCATTTAGCTCTAACTCTTATGTGGATACAATAAGTCTTTCTAAAACTGGATTTTCAGAGTTCTTCCAAGAAGAATCTTTACCTCTGAAAATCATTTGCTGACCATATTGTTACATAGAAGAAGGTGTACAGAAATATTTTCCCTCTATTTTCTTTGTAGGAAAAGCTGCTGCTGGAGCCCATGTTTGAAGTGCCCAATTCTGACATCGTTTGTGTGGAAGTTGACAAAGATGTTGTAGAAGGCAAAAAAGAGCCAGGATACATTAGGTAAAACCATGACAGAAGTAGCAGAACAGACCAGTAATACAACTAGACAGGTATTCTGATGGGATAACACAAATCCATGCACACAACCTAAAAAAGATCCAATGCTCTGTATATTGTACACAGCTGAATTAGTGCCCATTCTGTCCTAGAGACCTTGGGTTTGTCATGCTTTAGTTTTTAAACAGAATTTAAAAATAACATATATGAAGTTACTTTAAGGCTTTTATGTGTGTATACCTGTAGAAATAGCAGTAAATTATAATTGTGGCTGTACTGACATTTCTTAAATAGAACTGTTTCCTTCCCCCTAGTGTTTACCACCAAAGTGGTTTTTTGATACAAGCTCCAGGCTGCTGCAGTTTTCTGCATTACTCTTGCAGCAGTGGAGAGCCACAAAGGCACATCCATTGATTTGCTGAACTCTTGTTAAAACAATCAATTTTATGTTGTAAAGATCATGTTATGGTAATGATGTGGAATGCTGAAAGCACTGGACAAATCTGGATTAAAAGGAAACAATTTTCGTGAAGAGCGGATGGAGCTGAGAGAGAACGGGTCAGGTTAAAAACAGGTTAAAAAATTAGTTCCTAAATTTCAGTTCTCAAATCTAGTAATTCTGTCTTGCTTTCTACCCTGACAATGTTTTTTGAGTGACTTTCTCCTCTGAGGTACATGTACTCATCTGTCTGTGCTGAAGCTTGGCTCAGCACACCTGGTGTCTCAGAGCATGGTGGGAGTGGAAAGTATTACACTGGTGCTTTAAGTGATTTTGTAGAGGACCAGAAGTATTAAATTTATTGATTAAATCAAACAGCTTACTGAAAATCAGAAGGTTAATTGAATTCAGTGAGACTGTGTACTGGTGGTACTGTAAATGTGCACAGCACCATTTCCAGATCAGAAGGTCAGAACTTTTTCCAGAACTTTCTGGAAACTGTTTTTCCCTCAATTTCTAATGTATCTGATAATTTGTTTTAATTCCAGGGCTCCCACTAAAGAGTCATCCGAGGAGGAATACGACTCTGGCGTGGAGGAGGAAGGCTGGCCCCGACAGGCAGATGCTGCAAACCATTAAACACTGTCAGAATGCTCACCTGCATAAAGCTCACTGGGTTCTTTCCTTATGATTGCCTCTGGATTCAGGCTGATCCTAAAGGATTGGATCTGTCTCGGATACGATACGTGATGAGGAACTTTATCAGCTAAATCAGATCGTGTATCTTATTGCAGCATCACCTTGATTTGATGGACAGTGTGGACTGGGATGGCATAATGCTCAAATATGAATTGTATATTACACTTGTTCAATTAAAATGTATAGCAAATACAGCAGCACCTGCACTGCTCTTGGCAGAAACTAAACCAGCAGCACAGGTGCTGCCAATACTTAGATTTTACAATAATGTTACTCTACAAATGGGAAATCAAAATTAATAATTAGTAGAGGGTGAGTAAACTATCTTAGCTCCTCGTACGGCTCACAGGGGTTTGTTTGGGTCAGTGTTAGATTCCTGCTGGTGTTTGAAACCCAACGGGTGCTGGAGTGACTTGTTACATTGGTGGGGGAGGAAGCCCTTTTGGAAAAACTGGGACACACTTTATGACACTGCTGGGAGATTCTGCTAAAATGTGACACTGGTTTGTTACAGTAATTTAAATATCCAATAATACCGTTCACATCTCCATTGGGAGTTAAGCTTTAGTCACCTTGGATACTGTGAGAGAAGGTGAAGTCAGTAATTTGCTAATTCTCCAGAGGGGTCAACGAGGTTCCTCGGAACAAGCAGTAAAACCATCTGAATTTGGACGAGAAGTCGCCATAAATTTTTAAATATTAATGTTCTAATATAGTACATTTTGTTTAACGTATTGGAACTATCATGCATCAATTTTTTGGTGCCAGCTATTTGCCCAACCTATCTTATAATGTTAAGAGATGAAAAAAGTAAATGTATAATATTTTTGCTGTAATCAGTAGTGATTGTTCACAGGATACAATGCTTTTTAAGTTATATTCTCAAATGCTAGTATTGCATCTTGTGGGTTTGTCTTTGATTTTTAGTCTCACAGCAAAGAGATTCTCCCTCTTCTGTTCTCCACCAAAATGAATTCAATCCTTTAGGAAAGTCTTTGTAAAAACACTAAAGGACCTGTATGTTTTTGATTTGTTTCAGGAATTAAAATTGTCGCTTACAACTTTGTTTTGTCCTTTGGTGATAACGTGGACTTGAGTTTCCCTAAAATTTTAACTCACACTATTTAAATAAAACTTTCATCCTTCTTTTCAGTCTAGTGAATGGTTTAGGACAGGAAAGGATACCGAAAATCTATTGACCCTATTTTTGTTGTTAATTTTTGTCATGTAAATTTTATGTACTGCTCGTTCTTCCCTAGCAGCAGTGTGACATGCAGCTGTAGCCAGGTGCAACAGATACTTCCCTTAGGATTTCAGGGTTTTTTAGGTTAAATGACCCACTAATGGTTCAGAAAAAGCTGCATTTGGATTTGAGGATATTTCTAGAAGCTTAGTCCCCCCAAAATGGGAATCTGTGGTGAACTATCTGTAACTGCATCCTCACTTTCCTTTTTGTAGAGTGAAAAAATATAACAGCTTTTAATTCTGAATCCTTTAACTCAAATCCTTTTTTAAACAGATTGAAAAAAAAACCAAAACAAACAAAAAAAAAAACAACCCACGACATTTTAGGTGAAACTGTTCAACAACTTAGTTTTGAAAGTTGTTTGGAATTCTGTAACCCAAGAACTGTTTTTAAGGAAAACAAAAATGCCGTGTAACTACAGTTTGTACTTCACCTCTGGCGTTTGAATAAAAGCGAATATTCAAGCAGCGAGAGAGTTGTCATCCCTTACGCCATCCCCAGATATTTGAAGTTTTAGGGGTAGTTTTTGAAGGTTAATTTTTTTAATTAGGCGGAGCTAGAGGCGGGCGGCGGCGGGTCCTCCGGGCCGCCAGGCGGCGCTGCGGCGCCGGGCTGAGGGGGGGCCGCTGAGGCGGCGTTATGGCGGCGCGCTGAGCTCTGAGCGCTGAGGGGGATCATGGCGCAGCCCCCGCCGTTCCCCGCCCGCCTCCCGCCGCCTTTCCGCGCCTTCCCACCGCCCTTCCCCGGCCCCCCTGCCCGCCCCGCGCCCTTCCCGGTGGGGCCGGGGGCGCCCCCGCCCTTCCTCCTGCCGCCCGCCGGCCCTGTAGTTGAGGCCGGGCCGCGCTTCCCGCCGGGCGGCCCCTACTTGGCGGCGGCCCCGCCGCGGGTCGGGGCCGAGGAGGAGGCGGCGGCGCAGCGGCAGCAGGACGAGCTGTGGCTGTCGCAGTTCCTGGGCCGCCGGCGCGCCGCTCCCCCTCCGCCGCCGCCGCCCACCGCCGCCAACCCCAGCAGCGCCCGGGCCGTGGCGGTAGCGGCGCTGGGGCGGGTGGCCCGGGTGTCCGCGCTGTGCCGGGCCCTGCGGCGGAGCGAGGCTGAGGGCGACGGGCCGGGCTGGGCCCGGGCGCGGGAGGAGGCGGAGGCGGCGCTGCGGGAGCTGCGGGAGGTCGTGCGGCCCCTGCGGGAGCCCGGATACCGCGAGGAGCTGCGCAGGAAGGCAGAGAGGGCGAGGAAGAGGAGGCTGCGCCTGCAGCGGAGGAAGCTCGAGGCCAGGGCGGCCAAGGAGGAGGCGGCGGCCCGGGCCGCCGAGCGGGAGGCCAAGATCGACCAATGGCGGGCCAAGTGCATCCAGGAGGTGGAGGAGAAGAACCGGGTACGGCCCCGAGCACCTGGTCCTGCCTCCCCCGGGGGCTCCTGAGTGTCGCTCCGTTTGCAGGGCAGGATGAGCAGCCAGTAATGGGGTCACAGTGGTCTGTGCCTGCCCCACACCCGGCTTAGGGCCCCGCGGGTCAGTGGGTGCTACCGGGGTGCTGCATGACTTCATCTTGCTTGGAGACATGCCCTTTACAAGGTCTGCAGCCCTGCTTCTTCCTTGAAAGCCTGGGTGGGCATCTCAGCTTTGCCATGCTCGTGTCCTAGCCCTTGACAGTTGAGATTTAAGTTGTTTCTGAACTGCTGGAGGTTTTCCTTTCTGGTCCCAAGTGTCAGCCTGCCCACGCTGCTCACAGCTGCCCTGTGGTGCTCAGCACCATTTCAGTATCCATCAGCCTTGCCTGCTGCTCTCGTCCTTCTAAAGCTTGTTGTTTGCAAGCTTTTGGGTCTCATCCGGAAGCAAAATGTCTCCAAAGCAATAAAACCACCTTAAATTAGCCTTCCTGGGAAGTGCTGTAGGCACTTTGGTTGGTTTTTGTGTTGGTTTTTGGCCAAAGAGCTCCCATTCTGCTTGTCTGCTGCTGGGATGGTCCAGAGCAGCTGCTGAGGAAGGGTTTGTGGTCAGATTGTGGCAGGTTAATGGTCTTTAATTGCAGAGCTGTGGAATTGAGGTTGTTTCTGTTCATTGTTAATGTTTTCCCTAAACTTATGTGGTTAAAGGCTATCAGGCTTTATGAGTTCATTAGCCATCCTGGAAGTGTTCAAAAACATGGATGTGGCACTTGAGGACATGGTTTAGTGGTGAGCATGGTGGTGGTGCTGATTTGACAGTTGGACTTGCTGATCTTAAAGGTCTTTCCCAACCTTAAAGATTCCGTGATCCCATGATTTGGTCCGAATTTATGAGTCCCACAGCACTCTTTTTTGTTTTCTGAAGTCTGTGGTGTTTTAGCCTGTTTTTCTTAAAAAGGCAAGGCTGGATGGTTGACTTGTAGCTGTTGCTGTGAAGTAACTGATCTCCAGTGCTTCAGTCATCTCTTGGAAAATACCACTTGATTCTTGTCCTCGAGGGATATTTCACACATCATGTCTGTTTTTGTCTCTCACAGGAACGAGAGCTTAAGGCTGCTGCTGACAGTGTCTTGTCTGAAGTACGGAAGAAACAAGCAGACACCAAGAGGATGGTAGATGTCCTGCGTGGGCTGGAAAAGCTTCGGAAACTGAGAAAAGAGGCTGCTGCCAGAAAAGGTTAATTACAAGATTTTCACCCAACTTTTTTTATTGCACACCCAGGAAATAAGATGATGAGGGTGCCCTGTGCTGACTAGCAAGATGCAGCTTCAAAAAGCTGTGTCTTTGTAGTGGATTTTAGTTACAAGAATAGCTGTAAAATGCTGAATTCACAAGTGGTTGTGTTCTTGTTTTTCCAAGCTTGCTCTCGATAGAACAATTATTCCGATAAGAATTCCAGCTGTTAACAAGGTTAAGCTCATGTTTCTCTGAGATTTTGCCAGCTCTGCTCTCAAGTCTGATAACAAATCCCCTTCTGAATCTGAAAAATTAAAATCACTTCTCTTTCTCTTCAGGTGTTTGTCCACCCCCCTCAGCAGATGAAGCATTTGAAACTCAGGTGGAGAGTCTGAAAACGTTGCTCAAAACTCGCACAGAGCTGTATGAGGCTGAGGAGAGAGCATTAAGGGTTATGCTAGAAGGAGAACAGGAGGAGGAAAGAAAGAGGGAAATGGAAAAGAAACAGAAGAAGGAAAGGGAAAAACTACTACAGCAGAAACTGGAAATGGATTCCAAGCTGTTTGGGGATCCAGGTAAATTCTACGTGCCATACTTAGCAGTGTTTTTCCACACCACACCCGCATCTCACAGACACTGAGGTTTGAAATGTAGGCACAGAACTAGTTGAGAAAGAAATCATCCACTGGAGTAATTTATGGTCTGAGAAAAAGGTGGAATAAACGTAGTGTGCTCTTAACACCTGTGGTGTAAGAGGAACAGCTCAGTTGATCAGTGTAGACTGCAGCGCATCTCAAGCTGATTTCATACTGTTTTGCAAGAGGGGGTTGTAGATTAAGCTGAAGTGAGGCTAAATAGAATAGATTGAAGACTTTCAGCACCCAACAGATGCTTTAGTCTGGTGATTTGGTGCGACTCAGGTAATCTGTATAGACTCAGTGTCCATTTGTTCCCTTTCTTTAGAAGACAGAGGCAGGAAAAGTTTTGATAGTCTTGGCTTTCCTCTGACAGCTCTGGTACAGACCAAGAGACGAGTAACATGTAACTAGTCCCTAATATATTACATAGGGACCTGATTTCAAGTTACAGCTGGGCACTAGGAAATGAGTTGGCAAATTTGGGGCTTCTAAGACTCACTAGAATCAAAGGTTTTTCTGGATTATTGAACAATTTCTGTTTCTGTGTTTTCACAGCTGAATTCCCACTCGCCCATCTATTGCAGCCCTTCAGAGACTACTACTTACAAGCTGAGCATTCTGTAGCAGCTCTTATCCAGATCAGGTAAAATCTTTATTTTTTTGTCAAAGATGACAAATACTGTTTGTTGAGATTGTAAAATGAGCATCCCTTTTGGTTTGTCAACTTCCAAGTTTGGTTATGCAATAGTTTGTACTGTTTTTTTCAAGCTTTTTGCTTGAGTCATATCCAACAGATGCCCATGTGAGGCAGAGTGCACTTCATGCATAACTATTGCATTTAACAGCAGTACAGTTGATTTTTACATTTGTCTTTTGACAGACAAGTTTCAGAGTACAATTTATAGTGGTTTGTGTATCGATCAGTGTGGAAAAACACTTCTGTGGTTGTATTATAAATCTTACCAGCTGTCCTCTCAACGCTCTCTCTGTTAAAGGCATGAATGGGATCAGTACTTGGTGCTAGCTGACCACCCCGAAGGAAGCTGCATCCCTCCAGGATGGGTTCTCCCCAGTCTCCCCACCAATGACACTTGGGCCACTGCCGTCAGATGATTTACTAATAAATTATGTTAACGTTGGAGGATTGTTTCATTAAAATTACATGTGTTAAATATGAGAGGGCCCGAAGAGGAAGTCTCATCCTCTCTTTCGGCAGCCAGGTACTGCAAAGTCTTTACTGGAATGTCTTGAAGAAAAGTTTTAAGAACTGTTTTTGCTGTCTGACTGTGCAGGGAGATATCTGAGCAAGCCCAGAGCTGCCAGGCCTCTCGTGGTGTGGAATTACAGTCCTGCTGCGAGTTTTTGTTAAATCTGAGTCTTAATAAAGGAACATTGCTGACAGTGGTATTTGTGCCAGTATTAACATCCTATTTTTAGTGGCTTTTATCTTTATAGAAGATGATGAAATCTCCAGCAATAAAGAAATACTAAAATATATATATATATATATACACCCCATTAGTAAACATATTATTCTTCTTAAATGAAGCATGTCAAGTATCAGTGTCAAAATAGTTCCTGTATTTTTGGGTGTAGAAACAACTTTATTACAAGTTTAAACAAATTCTGAAGTACAAACAAGACAAGGTTTTTCAAGGTTGATTAAAGCAGCTGTTGACATTTTACTTTTGTGGACTAAAACTGGTACCACAACATGGAAAAAATTCCCAGCTGTGGTGAAATAGGTCAGACAGCCGTGTGAATAGACACAAATTTGATGAATAAGCCTGCTGGAAAAAAAACCAATAAAATCTGAAGTCTGTCCTACTGTAATTGTTTTGCCTATATAGCTATTTTTGTATAAGGACACATCATGTCTGTAATATTTGATTACAAAACACAGCTCTATTTTGTAAGTTGTTTTTTTTGTACAGAATAAATAGAGAAAAATGGATTTTTTTTTTTTTCCATTTGAAGCACTTTTACAACGAGGGAGAGATTTGTTTGAATACTTGGCATCAAATACGACTCCAACATGGAGGGAATTGCTGGGAAAAGGTTTGTGTGAAGGAACTTCTCCCTCCTGCAAGGTGACAGAGGCATCCGATGTCAAAGCTGTCTGTGTTCTGGACAGTTTGCTTGTGACAGTGATGGGCCATATGGATTTGGGGCTTTGCTGGGCTATGCAGATGGTCGTGGCACCTTTCCAGAGCTGCAGACCTGATTCTTGCTTAGCCCCAGTGTGTGGGAATCGAGTTAATCTCTCCAGTGCTTTTCCCCTTGGCGTCACAACAGTGCGTCATCCATGGAGGAGGCGACGTCATGGCCTAAATTCCACACCTGGGCCTTATGTGATATGTTAATAGTTTATTGGCTGAAGCTTTGCACTGGTTTCTGTTAGTAAGAGCACACAAACTAGTAGTTTTTAACAGAATTACTGTGAGTGCAGAAGTTTGCAGTTCTTGCTCACCTGCAGCACCCCAAAATACAGATTACCAGGAAGTCCTTTGGAGGTGGAGTTCTGATTTTCTCCCCCATACATCCCCCTGTCACTTCCAGCATCTCGGTACTCCAGACCCAAGGCTGAGTCAGATCCTGGGGAGTCTTCCCTGATGAAAATGCACAAGTTCAAAAATAAAAACAATTGCATGAAAACAATACAACTCCAACACTTCCAGTTCAGGAAGCTTAGTGACCGGAGGATGCTCTGCTTAAACAATTAGGCTCCTTATCCCGTCAGTGCGTCTGAGGGACAAGCCAACCACTTAAGCTACGATTATCTTAAAACTGTCCAAGTCAGCTGCTTGTCTGACACTGCAGGAATTTAAAGAGCTGAGCAGTAGATAAGCAGGCAGTGGAGCAGCAGCCCTGTTCTCCCTGCCCTGCGAGGAGAGCTCCATGAGTTCGTCTGACGGTAAGGATAACTTCATCTTATTAATAAACACAGGGGTTGAAAATGCCAGGGGATGATCTACCTTTAGGTATATTTCCATCCCTCAAACTTTCTGTGGTTTGCTTTGTGTATTTGTTCTTGTCTAGCAATGTATGCATTAAAATATTTTATATCTTTAGTGGGGAAGATAGAGAGGAATGTTTAAAATCTCAACTCATAAAATACGTGGAGACAGAGTATTCTTAAAAATTGTTGTCTTCATGTTGAAGAGTCAGATTTGTCTGAGTGTAGTATTTCCTACTGTGTTTAAGTTTTAAAAAATTACTATAGTCCAGAAGAAGACAGGGGTTGGCTGTGTGTTTCCAAGACTCCTTTGCATCCTATTCCTCTGCTGGTCCTGCTGCAGTTCAGGTTTCTCATGTTAAGGCACATCCTCTTCCTAATGTGAGCTGGTTCATGCACTGGCCAGTGTCTGTGATGTGAAAGTGGGCAGGGCTGGTGTGGGGTACAAGCTCAGAGACCTTCTAGGAGTTGCCTTCTGGTGTGAGTTGGTGTTTAGGACTGACCATCTTTTATTCTTGTCTAGTAGCGGTTTTCTTGTCATCACACCCACCCCAAAGGACTTCTTGTTTTCTAAACTGGGAATTAACACTTGTGGGTGCCTTTCTTAGAGAACAGTATTTATGCAGTGAAATACAGCAGGTACCATCTTCATATTTTCTTCATCCTCATACCTGAAAGTGGCATTTGAACCCAAGTGAAGCCATTCTGGGTGACAGATGTTGAGACACAACTTTCCTTTGCACGTGTACACAGGGATTTTGGGAAGAGTCAGTTTACAGCATAAGCTGCAGAGAGGGTCTGTCACCCTTGCACACAGGGGCCGTGCTTGGAGCTGCAGAAAGCTGGGGAAGGTGGTTTTGCCTGCAGGTCTTTTCATGCGTTGTCTTTGTCCGTGCTGACGTGGATTGTCCCTTAGGCTGAACCCTCTTAGGCTGGAGCAGATGGTCTGGCTCTGTGAGGGCTCCCCACACGTTGCCTGTGTCATGTGTTAGTGGCAGGACATGTGCAGGAGCACAAAGCTCGTTAGGGGCTCTGCTTGGGCAGAGGTATTAAAGGCTCCTGGCGTAAGCAGGCAAGAGACAACCCTGTTGTCATTCTGATAATGACCAGCTGAGTTGCACTGAGTGATTGTGTGTGTCACTCATGTCTGTTTGTGGTCTGGAAACAATTTGTTAGTCCTCTGCCAACATAAGAAACTACTTTGAATCCCATTTCCCCTTATAGACTCTTATTTTTGCATTAAACATGTGGTTTTTTCATCCTTGTATACATTCATCTAAATATTTCCTTTTTGTGGAGTGTTTATCCTCATTGTCAAAAAAGCTGTTTTAAAAGATAAAAATGACTGTGAGAAGCACTTAGGGATGTCACAGACATATTTACTGTGTGTCCTGAGGATGGGATGTCACACAAGTATTTACTGTGTGTCCTGAGGATGACTGCTGAGGACTTTGGGATGAGCAGGCACAGGCTGTGGGTGCCAGGACTCGTGGGGAGATGAGCCACCGACTCTTAGCAGTTGATAATCTGTAAAAGAAATAATTTTGCATGCTGTCATCACTGGGAAGCTCGAGGCTTCATGCAGCAAGTAGAGGCTTTTTACTAAATTGAGACATCTGTAGAGAGCTGATGGTTACACTATTGCAATAATATTTTCCGTGCCACCATTCCCAATTCATCAGAAATTTTTGTCTCCCCTGCAGTCCTGCTCTAAAACCATCACCACACTTAAAATGAGTAGATGGTTACTAAAAGCTAATCTGGCCTTAAAATGGCTTGTTTGACATCCCCCTAACTGTTAAGTTTGCCTCATGCACCAGCCTCCTGGCCTGGCTCCTGATAAGCTGCTGTGGTGCCAGAGGGGATGTCCTCACCGCAGCTCCCTCCTCCCTCGGGATGCTCCGTGTGATGGCTTAGCAGCACGTGGCTGTGTGCATGAGCTCTATCACCACAGGTTACACAGGGAGAGGAGACCTGCAAGGTGTTCTCCTTGGCTGTGGTTTCTCCCTCTGTAACTGGAAAAAGTGCTCAGTGTGTCCCCAGCTTGGAGAAGGGATCATGCAAAGGGCAGCAGAGGGAGGGAGAGGCAGGAGGGATGGGAAACAGTAGGGCATGCATGGAGGTGGAAGTGAAGAAAAATGCTCAGGGTCTCTGCCAAAGAAAGCTGTAAGCTTGGTCAGGTCCTGCTGGCTCAAGCTGAGAATAGCAAAGGTTAGTTCAGACAAATCTTCCCAGTGTCAATAAATAAGATTTTGCCCATCTGGGCAATGCACAGAGTGGTTTTTACTTGGCTGGCTCTTGAAAAAGCTCATCTTCCTCTCCTTCCACCCAAGTTAAGAGGTGCGAGTCCCGCCTTTTACAGTTCTGTTTCCTCCCTTCCTCCAGCAGCAAGAAATCAGGCAGGAGTGATGAGCTACCTGGATGAAGTTCCCTTCAGGATGGCCCTGAGCCTCGATGGGGACTCAGGGGGAGAAATCCCCTTAATCACTGCCCCGGACATCGAGGTCCCCGACTGCACCGACATCCTCATGAGCACCATGGTGAGTCCACACCCAGATCACTGCTGGGGGATGCTCGGAGGGATGTTAGTGGTGCTTTCCTTTTCTTAGGCGAAAAGGGGCACATCCTAATTGATCTCCTCTTACTTGACTGGTTTGCAGCAGTATTGGGAGGAGAGGATGATTTGTGATATGTGGAACTGAGGAAGGAGTTGTTTGGGGGTTGTCTTTTAAAAATCCTGTCCAAGCAGGAGGCTTGGGTCTTTCTGGGATAGGAGGACAAACTTCTGCTCTGGGGTTGTTTTCTACTTTGGAATTTCTACTGTCTCATTTATTAATAATATTTATTAAATATCAATAATTTTAACAGATATAAGCAGGCAACATTACCTGTACTGACAGCATATGCATAATTTATATATGTATGTAAGTTTTTATATATATATACATATATTTATATATATATATAAATTTTTACATATATATGTATATAAAGTATCCCGTGTTTCTCCCTAGTTGGGATGCATTGATGCTCCCCGCCGAGGCCAAGCAAGATTGTGCTGCTGCTTCAGGCTGATCCTTCTGGAGGGACGTGGGGGTGTTTTCCTTAGGGAGGCTGTTTTGGGTCCACAGATGACCCAAGTGGCAGGAGCAGTAAAAACAGCATTCCTGGGCTGTGAATGTACTTGCCTGCCTGTCCGGAGGAGACCTTGTTTGGAGAGCTCTGGGACGGGCAAGGGTTGTTTGTTCCAGGAAAATCCTCAGATTTCAGTCACAAACAAGCTTATATTTTAAGACAGACTATGTGGAAATGACAACTCTGTTTGGGGACCAGCCGAGCCCCTGGCGCCACAAGAGACTCCCATGGCTGGTCCTGCCGCTGCCCGAGGTGGCATCACCCTCCGTGGTGGCTCCAGAGCCCCTGTGCCTGAAGTGCCACTAATGAGAGCCACAAACAAACTCTGCCACCACCCTGGGGGCAGCCTGTGGCTGGATGTAGTGCCTCTCTGCAGCTGCCTAAAACTGGGATGCCCACATCCCCTGTCTGCACCCTCCCACCTTCCACAGCAGCCAAAGTGACACAAAACCACCTCTAAGTATAAAACACTTCTCAAAAGAATTGTAGGTACAACTCACAATAGTAATAACTTTATACAGGGACTTTTTTCAAGTGTAAATTTGGGGATTCCCTATAGGGATGAGGCTGGCACAGCCCAATCCTACAGCCAGCCCTGATCAGGGAAGTAGGATCTCATATGGGAAGGCTGCAGCCCTTAAGCTGCCTCGCAAAGCACATGGTTTGCTCAGTGCCAGGTGGTCTGGTTTCAGGTGTCCTCACCAGCTGCCTCTCGCTCTTCCACAGCACGACTTCTCCCTGGAAAGGAAAGTGCTTTACTGGGTCGAGGTGGCCTCTCAGCAGCAAACCTGCCGGCACCGGGTCACCTCCGAGGTCGTCCCCACGGCCCCGCCGTGCTGGCTGCTGCTGGTGGACCCCGCCGACAGCTACGGGGGCCGGGCGCGGGACGCGGCGGTGCGGCGCTCCATCAGCATGAGCGCCGCCGACACCTCCTACGGGCACGCCAGGGGCAGGGCGGGCCTGTCCGACACCGAGAGCGAGACCTGGCACTCGGAGGAGGGCGACTACTCGGACGATGAGTACTCCTCGACCTCCCTGGAGGAGAATGACAAGGATGAAAAGCTCCTCTCCAGGAGGAGAAGCTCTGGGAGAAGCGTGGCTTCACGTCTCAGCTTTTACCAGACCCGACCAAAGACATCACCTGGTTTGCTGGAGCCCTCACCAGAGAACAATGTCCACAGCCCAGCCAGCCCGGACCCCAGCAAGCAGAGAAGGTCCATGGTGATATTTAACAACATGAAGAATGAGCTGGAGGCAGCCAGGAGGAAGCTGGCTGCTCTGGTGCATCCTTTGAACAGAGCTGCCACGGGGGGCAGGGGGATCCCGGTGCCACGGCTGCTCCCACAGTGTCCCGGCACCAACCGTGGTGTCAAGTACGGGCCAGCCCAGGACGTGTCCCAGCTGGGGACCTTGGTGCCAACTCCTCCAGCCACGCCTGCACCAATCCCACCCATCAAGAGGCACAAACCCACAGTACCGGTGAGCTGCTGCCTTTGCTTGGTGCTGAGAGAGGAGGGAGGTGGAGGGCGTTGAACTGGTCTCATTTGCCAGAGACTGGGCAGCAAAATGGATTCAAAATGAGACTTTAGGAACACTGGACCCATGAGAAATTGCTGATGAGTTTTCATAAGAAGTGAAGGGAGGGTTTCTTTTTTCCTCTGAGGTTGTGCATGTTTACTTGCTCTGTCCTAGTTAAAACACCCCTGTTTTTCCCAAGAAGCGGGATCTTATTTGATTATCAAATGAAACACTAAAAAAAAAATAGTGAAATAACAGGGGTTTTCCCCTCTTTTCTCTCTATTACCCCCCTCTTACAGATATAGGTGGGGTTTATAGGGAAATGCTCCTTTACAGCCATCATATCTTTTCTAGGAAACTTTGGACTTCATAGTCCTACTAAAAATACAAATCATTGGTGAAAGAGGGATGTGACAAGATGGAGTAAATATCACTCTGTCACCTTGAATCTGAATTGCACCATGTTTTTTAAGAAATCACATCTCATCCAGCTACTTGAGAGATTTTAGGAGATGAATTACTGAAAACCTACAATTAAAACCATTGGACACATGAATGACCAGGTTATTTATAGGCAGTTGTACTAGACATGGGGTAATTAAGGAAAGATTAAATGCCTGTGTGTATTTGTACATCACCCAGCCTGAGCACTCTTTGATCTGATCTGTATCTATAGCTGAGCCTGGATTTAATTAAATCCAGTCTCCTTTGATGCCCATTGGATGTTTCATGTATAGGAATTTTCCTCTTCTGGAGAAAGCAAGGTAACTGCCAGTGTTCAAAAGCGTTGCTTCAGCCTGGGTGTTTGACATCATCCCATGAGCTGGAGCAATAAGACTCTCTTCTGTTTTTTCCTTGCAGTCCCTCAGCCCCTACACCTGCCTCCCCCCTGCCTGCACACCTGGGAGACCCCTCAGCTCCCTCAGATCCCAGCCGGATTCCTCGGCTGACCTGCTCTCCGCTCTGAGCCAAGAGGAGCGAGACCTCATCGAGCCCGTCATAGCCCTGGGCTACCCCACGCACAAAGCCATCCTCACCCTCCAGAAGACGGGAAGGCAAAGCCTAAGTCAGGTTGGTGGAGCTGGCGCGGCACCGCGGGAAACCTTGGGTAAAGGAAAACTTGATTTTCCTGGAGAAAGGAATGGCTGTCTTGTTTGAGGTGGATTTCTGATTGCCTTGGCTCTCCCACTTTGGTGTCAGACCACAGCTGACAAGCTTTTCCATGAGATCACACTTTTGCTGTAATAAAATAGCAATGAGTCGCCCTCAGCTTTTCAGCATGTAATCACGGCTGGTTTCGTTATCTGTTCAATCTGTTGTGTGGAGCTTCATGTCCTTCTGAGGTACAAATTTTGCCCCCGTACATGGAAACTTTTTGCACATCATTTTTTCCCGGCTGTTGGATTTGTGTGATGATTACCATGGTTTATCCTGTCAGAGCAGGACTGTACGAATACTGCAAAGATTTGGCTGGGCTCTCTCCAAAACACAACTTCCCTGCCTTGCAGCAAGCAGGGAATCCATGCAAGCATTGCAACGGGGTCCCAGAACTTTTTTCCTGAGGAACCCTCTATAATAACCTGGAATTTATTGAAAACAATTGACATACAGACTCTTCCTACCCCTGGTATCTGAGTACATCCTTGCCTGCAGTGCTGCATCTCCATTCCTGAGGTCTCTGCTTGTGCAGATGAATTCCACAGTGGTCCAAGGGGGCCTTGGAGCATCCATGACATGAGGGATGATGCTGGCTCTGACTCCCTTGGCAAGCTTGGGGCTGGACCTGCCCATCCCAGCAGAGGATTTTAGGGCTAAATTACCCAAGTAACTCTTGCAGAGAGAGAAGGGGCTTAATTGAAACTCAGCAAGAGGGATGTCCATGAAGCTGTCATGCCAGGGAGCAGGAGCAGATCCTGGCAGAGGCACGAGCAGGCACAGTGCCAAGCAGCCTGTGCCGGGTGCCAGTCTCCTTCCCATTCCCCTGGGAACTGCCTGTGCTGCGTGGGCCAGCTCCCACCGCCTGGTCGGTGCATGAAGCTGCTCTGAAGCTGCTCTGTGGCTGAGTCATCCTGCAGCTCCCCTCTCCCTCCTGAGTCACCCCGGCTGGACCAGCCCTCCAGACCTCGCTGGTGTTTCAGGAGAGCCGAGGTGGGAAGGGAAGATTGTGTCCTCAATTCATGGAGGTTTCATCCAGGCAGAGGGAGATGGACAGAGCCCAGCCCACATTCTTTGCACAGAGCCGTGAGAGGGTGTCTTATGGCTTCAAAATGCAGAAACAGTGCATCTTTTTAAGGATGGAAGTGGGTACAGCCTTCTCCCTTCTGTATAAACACTGGGACTCCCATTCCCTTGGAGAAGAGATTCCTGCACCAAAATACAAGGTCTGCCTTATATCCTGTGCCTGCTTCACCAGCATGTTCCATCTTTCCCATTTATGTCCAATGCAGCCAAGATAAAACGTAAAGCCTGACCTTTTGTGCATCTCTTACAAGTACAAAACTACCAAATTAGGCTAAACCTTCCTGCAAAATATGTTCCAACTGAAGTTAAAAAGAAGAGCTGTAGGTGCTCTTCACTGCTTGCTGTGTCACGCAGGGTTTCAGTGTGTGATGACAACAGCTTCAACTCTGAGGATTGATTGTAGTACCAGATGGTAGACAAAAATTGCTCAACTTCTTTGCAGTGTCAACTCAAAACTAGCAAAGCCCACCTTGGCAGAGGAGGCAAGTTTGTGGCCTTAAAGAGGCGATCCCTTCTCAGTTTTGATGGAAGAACTTTTCTGAAAGGCTCAAGCAGGGTTAGTTGCCCCAACGTGCCAGAGGTTCATCATGTTATGGCCAAGGGCTAAACCAAAAATGCAGCATTGCATTTTGCTCAATGATCATTGATCAATTAAAAATGCATCCTTGATCCATGGAGCCCTCGATGTACCTGTGAGCTGAGACATGACAGAGGCTGCAGCTGCTCAGCGCCCATCTCCCCAGGCAGCTGTAGGCACAGGGCAACAGTGTTAAAAAACTTCTTGAGGAGAAAATTATAAAAAACATTGAGTTGACAATGGCACCGATTTCATGCTGGGCTTGACCAGGCTGCCAGGACTGTCTGTGTTGTGCCATGAGTGAGCAGCTATTCCTGCCACAACAGAACAAGAAAATACAGCAATGAGTTGGGGTTGTCACTGGTCAGGTAACGAGGGAAATAAAATCAGGTTAGGAATGCCAATGACCAGTGACTGTCTCCTCCCTGAGCTGCTCCTTAAGGCTGACATTTCTAAAAATTCTTACTCTGCTGTTCAGCCAAACTAGATCAGCTCAACATTTGAGGGACTTTTTTGCCTTTTTCATGTGTTTTGTGGTCTTTTACTGAGTCCTTCTCCTTGGCTAGGGGAGTGCTGGGGAGGGTGGAGGTCTATGCACTGGTGGATCTGGGGAAGATATGAATCAGTTTGTCCTTGGATGAAGATGGCACAGCTCTGGGGAGACCCATGGGATGTTTTTATTCCCCCTGCTATTGTATAGCTCATTTATTATTGTCTGTCCCATATGTTTTTGGACATTGAGTGATTCTCGCGGTATTTAAAAGATGCTGCTGGGAATTGTGCTGTCAGCACTCCAAGAACAACGAGGAAAGCCAAAAATAACTGTTTACTTTCAGTAATGGCAGCACACGGGTCTCCCCTGGGGTAGGTTTTGCGCTCGGACCCTGGAGCAAACCCAGGGGTGCCTGAACCCCGGAGCATCAAAGGGATGTGGGGTTGGCTGAGGGTGGACATCCCACGGGGACAGGCTCTGCCTCACCCACAGCCTGGAGGCCATTGCTCTGTATCTCAGAGGTTCAGATGTTTGGTTTGCTGCTCATCCTCCCTCTGCCTTGTTCCCATTCCCACCCTGGGAGGGCGAGGGGGACCAAGATGTTGTCATCTCCCGCTGGGAATCATGTGGACAGACAGACCACCCTGGCTGAGCATCAGATGGGAACCAGCAATGGTGGGTTGCTCGTGTCCTCCCCATGGTGTGTGCCTGGTTGGTGTCAAGGTGGGCTCCTGTTTGCCCTCACTCCCTGTGCCAGCAAGGCTGGGTTAACCTGGTTGTCTTCCTCTGCAGTTCCTGAGCTACCTGGGTGCCTGTGACCGGCTGCTGAAGCAGGGCTACGAGGAAGGGCAGGTGGAGGAGGCCATGGAAATGTTCCAGTACTCGGAGAAAAAGGTCAGAGTGGGATGGCAGAACCCAGCCCTTTGTGCTGTGTCCTCTGGGCTCGCTTTTCCAGCGGGCTGTACCCTTCCCTCCACTTCCACTGCCCCTCATGGGGGTCAGACCCACTGCCCTGCCACCAGTAGGACCCCCATAAGGACCCTCTGGGAAAGGACACCTGCTCCATCCCCTTTTCCATCCATCCTCTCACCCCGTTGTGCAGCACGATGCTTGTTCACCTGCTGTGCAGGGAATCCTGTCCCAAGCCCACCAACACCTGCTCTTGCTCCCTCTCTCCCAGCTCTCCTCCAGGGAGAAAAACTGTGGTGACACACTGGGAATTGGTCTCCATCATCAGTCTCTTCCCGGGTAATGAAGAGCCTGGGGAGGTGGAACTGCTTGAAGTCTGGGCTGGCAATGTTTGCTGGGATGGCAACAGCCCATAGGATTGTCGTGTCACTGCTCATTAGGGCAGTGACAGTGGGGGCTGCCCAGGTCTCGGTGTCAGGGAAGGTTTATTTATTGAGGACACGGCTCTGGGTGATGTCATGGCACTGGGGCCCAGCCTGAGCAAGGAGGGAAGCAGGACAAATGAATTCCAGCTTGTGCTCACTGCCTCTCCCTGCCCTCTTTATAATGCAGACAAACAGTGCATGGAATTGATACAAACTTTATAAGGAATAAGTGAAGCTGGAGGCTGACTTTATTAAATATTTCTTATTTAAGAAGTTGAAATGCTACCAGGGGTTTGTGTGTCCTCGGGCTGCTGTTGTGGTGCCCTTTGGCGGTGACACAACCCAGCCAGGGCGTCTGGCTGCAGCCTTGTCCCACAGCACTGCTGCTGCAACCCCACGATGGATCCATCCATGATAACATCATTCCCCTCTCTTCCTTCTTCCTCCAGGCAGCTGAATTCTTGCATCTGTTGGCTCAGTTTAATGATATGGGTTTCCAGCAAAATGAAATCAAAGAAGTTCTTTTGCTTTGTGGGAATCAGAGGGAGAGGGCGCTGGAAGAGCTCGTGATGAAAACCCACTGAGCAGCACCCTGGACCCATCACAGCTTCCCCTGTCCAGACTGCACCAGAAGCACTCAGGTGGTTCTGCTGCTCCATCCCCACCCCTGGAAACAACCAGTCACGGGCCTTCACAGCTCTTCCTTGGTGTCTCATCTCATTTTATGGACATCCATCATAAGAGTGTTTATCATTCAGGCACCAACTTCATAGGAGGAATATTTATCTCCTCACCCACACGTCCCCACCCTGATCATCTCAGCTGTTCAGATTAGATGAAATGAGATCCAAACCGCCTTCGGCTTAGATTTTTGCAAAACCCAAACCACAGTGTTCTCCCTCCACCTGGGGTGATGGGTGTCATGTTTTCAGCTACAATCAAATGTGGATTCTTAAGAGATTATATAAATCATCAGAAGCAATTGTTTTCCTAAAATCTGAAGGAACATGTGTTGGTCCTGGCTTGGTTAAGAGTCTCAGCTGACTTAGTCATGATTGAATATTGTAATTGAAATCCAATTTGATCACATTAGCTTCTCCTTTTAAACCAGAAATGTGATAAAAATACACAATTCCATGAAGGTAAGGAAAGAAAACAGGCTGCCCTTGCTCTGAAATACATGAGGTTGAATGCAAAATGGTGGAGGTAAGAGTTTGTCCTCAGGGAACTTCCTGAAATCAGAACAGAGAGATGGGGAACTGCTCACTGCCCTCATGCTCTGCCCAAATCAGGAAAATTCAGGGGATGTTTCCCTAAACTGTAAAGACAGTGGCTCCAAATGAAGTTAAGCATGAAAGTCAGCATCGGGAACATCTGGATGCTCGGGGGAATTTCTGTATGCAACTGAAGGACAGAGAATGGGATGTGTGTCTTGGTTTGGCACTGGAACAGTGGACAGTGTTTTCACATAAAGTATGTTATTTTCCTGTGAATTAGATACAGATGTAATTTCTTTGAGTAAAGATGCTTGGGGGGGTTCTTCTGCAATGTGTTTGTGTCTTTTCCTGTCAGGATGCCAACTGGCACAACCCAGCAGAGAAAATCCTTCGTTAGTTGCATTAGTACCATTTTTCCATTGTATCCTTCCAAATAATCTCTCAGTCTAACATACTGCCATTGAGGTAAAACACTGTGTCCCTTCTCCCTGGATCTCCAGGTGGATGCCAGGCACCAGCAGGAAGGTACATCTCTCCACGGCTGCCTTCATTCTTGCCTGGATGGACAAGGAAACTTGGCATCCAAGTTTTGGGGGACTTGACCCATCCATTCCCAAGGAAGCTTTTTTCCTGCCCTTCTTTAATGGCATTGAAACAGAAAATGTGGTACCTTGTGTGACCAAGGGAGATATCCCCGAGGAGCTCACAGGCTCCTCCTGAATCTCCCAGCCCTGTTTTTGCTTCAGCTTTCCCTTGGTTATACAAGCTTTTATTTTTGATGTGGCCCTTATAAGGCAAGTCCGTTCTACAGACAGCTTTTCCTTACGTCCTCTCTTGCCAAGATGATGTCACCTTAAAAAAGAAACTTGAAAAAGGTTAAACTGTGATTAGGACGATCGTGTCGCCTGGAACTGTGATCTTTGGCGGAACGAACCCCTGAGGATGGAGAGGGGGAGATAAAGGTGCTGAGCTGGTGCCAGCAGCGTGAAACGTTGAGGGCTGAATTCTGGTGGCAGCGTCGTGCCCACAAAGGCTGAAGAGCCTCTCACCCTCCTTAGAGGAGCCTCCTTGACCCTGGCTCATCGTTTCTTGCTGAGGTAAGAGCTGTATCTTTTGTGCTCCCTTTGCACCTAAAATTATCTTGTGTTACTCTCTGTATCACGGTCTGGATTGATGGATGCAACAAATGACTCCTCTCTTGGGTTATCCATGCCATACTCAACAGCCTGCCAAGACCTGCACTTTCCCCTAAGTGCTGCACTTAAAATCTTCTGCATTTTGTCTACAAATATCTTTGTAAACCCCTGAACTGTCAAAAAAACAGTGTGTGGAGGTGGGGAGGAGGTTGTATCACTTGGTGTTGGAGTTGGAGGGAAGGGGAGAGCCTGCCAAGTTCAGCAGTCCAGGGTTGGCCACAGGAGCCCAACATAAATATTTTACTAACAGAATTATTTTAACTTTATTTTAATGGAGGTTTAAGCTGTTTGTTCAACCTGAAATGGTTTTAAAGCAGCATGTTTCCATATGCTGCTCTCAGTTAGGAGAAGACAACCTGAAATGTTAATTGGCTTTATCTGGGAGGGGAGTGAGGATTTGACATGATGGGTTCCTGTAACGTCCTCCCAGGGACACCAACACAATTCCTCTTATGCTGCCCATGGTGCAGAGGTGGAGGAGGTCCCTCGGTGACCTCTGCCTCCCCTGTGCCACTGCCAGACCTGCACCTCCAAGGGCTGTGGTCCCATCACAGGTGACAGCAGAGTGGTAGCCTGGCCCAGTGGCAGGGAACAAATGAGGACAAGGCACATCCATCTGGCCATGGTTGCAAGTTGGGGTTTTCTGGTTTGTTTTGGTTTGTGGTTGCATTGAGTGGGTTTATTCTCAAATGAGGGAACTGTTTTGAAAATGCTGAGAACTTGGCGAGGGTCAGCACGGAGGTATTTGAGGCATCCTGGCTGGTATTCCCTTCAGCTCCATCCCAGCCGGGACACCACAGCAGCCCAAAGCCTGACCCATGGATGGAAGATCAGCTGACCACAGTCTGGGTTTGCTGCTGCCCTGGTCCCCCAGCACTGCAGTCACAGAGGGGAGCTCTGTGCTCTCCAGCCACCCCCAGAGTTGGTGCTGAGGGTCAGCAACCTTCCACTCCAGGCAGTGGAATCTCATGGGAACAGCTCCTCTGGCTTTGGAGCTCTGCAAGCCTGGCATCACCATGCAATGGTGGTGCTCCCTCCCTTTTTGTACCCTCTGTACTTCCAAGTTTTGCCATGTCCTCAAAAGACCCTGACTTGGTTCAAACAAGCCTCTGACGAGAGCCAGCACTTGCCACCCCTTTGGGTCTTGCTGAGGCTTGGGGGGATGATGGATGGTTCCCAGGTCCCAGAAAACCCTCAGTGCATTAAGCACCAATGCCCAGGAGCTGCTTTCCTTTACCGCCCATCTCCCCTCCTCCTCCCAGGACCCTGCTGTGGCCATGGAGATATCCCAGGGGAGCACAGGGCTGTGTGGGAACCACACTCCCACATACGGCTCTGAAATGGAGCTGCAGCTGAAAAAGCATTCAGGGGCAGGAGTGAGTCCTGACATGGATCTCTGTTAGGAGGTATTATCCTTCAGAAGGAGGAGGGGGGAACCAAACCCAAGAGTAATGAAAATTCTGTAATGAGAAGCTTTTCTATAGGTTTCCTTTTAATTCTGAGATATAATGAATGATTCCCCATCAGGGAAGAGAGGAGGTGGAGTCCTGCACACCCTCAGAGTGTAGTCAGAATAAATAAACCCCCTGTTTGCACCTCTCTGGTACCTGTTCTCTGCAGAAGCCATGAAGCCACGCACACAGTTGGCTCATGAGCCCACGTCTGGCAGGACTTTGCACTCGTGCAGGGCAGGCAGGCACAGCAGCAACTGCCTGCAGTCCCTTCCCCTCTGGCAGGGTGTAGTGTCACCTCCAGGGTCCAACATGAGGCATCCCTGGACCTGAGCACAACTCCACGGAGGAGGAGAGGAGCCCAGGGGAGCAGCAAGTGCAGAGCCACGTGCAAGGAGAGCATCCTGACATGGTATGGGGGACCACCTACGTCGCGATGTCATGGTCACGTCTTGGCAGCCGCAGGAGGAAGGTCTGCAGGGAGCCACTGCGTGGGAAACCTGCTCGCTCCTTCTTCTGCTTCCAGGTCTCGTCTTCCACGGAGTAGAGGAGTGTCAGCATCTTGTTGACAGTGTAGACGGTGTCCCCCCTGACAACAGCAGTGAACAGGGCTCCCTTGCTGTTCAGGAACTGCCCAGGCAGGGCCGTCCACTGCCGCGACGTCAGGTTGAAGCAGTCGATGACACAGCGCAAGAAGTCGTCATAGGGGCCGTTGCGCATGACATAGAGGTTGTCACGGTGGGCCACCATGCAGTGCCCGTAGCTCTGGTGCCGCTTGAGCTCGGTGACGGGAAGCCACTCGTCCCGCTGGGTCTCGTACTCGTAGATGACGGTGGTGTCCAGTGGCTGCCACAGGCAAACAAAGATCTGCCCGAGGGCTTGGGCACAGGGTGCCGCCGTGCTGGGCTGCGGCAGGTCGGAGACGAACGTCCAAGTGCTGGAAGCCACGTCGTACCTCTCCACGGACTTGAGTGAGATCTTCTCGTACTCCCCCCCAATGGCGTAGAGGAAGCCCTCGTGGCCCACCAGCCTGACGTCGTAGCGCAGCTGGTGAGGGCTGGGGAACTCGCTCCAGGCGTTGGCGTCAGCGTCATAGCAGAAGCTGCTCTCCACCACCTGCTTGTTGGCCCCGTAGACGCCACCCACGATGTAGATCTTATTATCCATGGTTGCCATGCCGGCTAGGAATGTGCTGGCACTCAGCGGAAGGCAGGAGAGGGTCCTCCACGTGTTGGTCTCCTCGTCCAGGTAGCAGATGGTCCTGGACAGGTCCTCCAAGAACTCGAAGGTGGGTGTGTGGGCTCCCACTGCCACAAAGGTGCTGGGCAGGAGGGCTTCCACATAGGCCAGCAGGTCATCAGAGAGGCAGTCCAGGTACTCCTCCAGCTCAGCATAGCTGTCCCTGATATAGAGAGCGGCGCAGTGGAAGAGATCCAGGAGGCCGAATATGGCAGCAGCTTGGTACAGCAGGATGCAGTTGTCGGAGTTGATGGAGTGGATCAGGTACTTGGCCAAGGGCTTTACCTGCAGGAAGGCAGCACACTCCACTGCCTGGAGGGTCTCCTCGCTGCCAAGGATGGGCCTCTCGCCCTCCAGCACCCGCAGCATGGCGAGGAACCCGGCCGCGCTCAGCTCCCCCAGCCCGATCTCCTCCTGCGTGCTCTCCCTCATGCCCGAGCGGAAGAGGGCACGGAAGTACTCACTGCTCTCCACCAGCAGGGTCTTCTCCACACAGAACGACTGCTCCTCCACCCGGATACGCACCCGCTCTGGGGGCCCTGCCTGGGAGTCTTCCTCCTCCGGGGTCATCCTCGCCTGGGGTCAGTGGCTCTCGGGGGTGGGGGAGCAGCCAATGCCCCTCTGTGCTGTGCTCCAGCACAGCCCCCTCCTGCCTCCTCCACCCTTTGATGCCTTTGCTGCGCTGCCCGATGGCCTTGTAACATAAATACCTTGGTCTAAAGATAGCTGAGCTCGTGACCGGGGCCCTTCAAAGGCATCCGCCGGGCTCAGCTGCCCACCCAAACTCAGGCAGGGCTCCAGCATCACCAGCCAGGGCTGGGCACAGCAGAGGTGCCCAGATTATCCCATGGAGTGTGCCCAGCCACTCCTGGGAAAACGGGTTTTGCTCTCCCCACTTTCGGGCATCCTTGTTGCAATGCCCTAAAGAGACGGTTCCCCATCCCAGGGAGGGCAACATCTGCACAGCTGGGAAGAGCACATTATCACAGTATCCTATTTTATTTTCCCTTAAAAAGTGGAGTTTACAGCCACAGGGAGGTAAACAACATCAGCAAACCTTGCTGCCATTCAGCCTGGCTGTGGGAAAGGGCCTTGTCTGCCACAGGCAGGGAGAGACCTTCCTTTGTGACCCTTCCCGGGCAGGAGGCATCAGCAACCCAGGCAACATCCAGCCCAGGCACAAGGAGCCATAAGCCAGGCTGTGCTTCACGTGGGGATCTCATGGTGAGGAAAATGAAGTGCAGTGACCCTTTTTCAGCGAAAAACTCCCCTCTGGCCTCAAGGCTCACCTACTCCCTGTGATGCTTGGCTGCAGGCAGAGATAAACCCCTGTGACTGACATAGAGGTTGGCAGTGAAGAAAAGTGTCATTTGTGGCACATTGCTGATTTGTGTGCTATTCACAGCTTTTCGTGGCTAGAAATCCCATTTCACCTCTGCCATGGGGTGCCGAGGAGAGGGCCAACAACAGGGCTCACCTCAGGGGCTGCTTCCCAGGTCTCCCCATCACCAGCTGCACCTGGTCTTTAGTTTTGGTGAATAATTTAACCTGAGAAGCCCAACACTGTTGAAGGTCTATTTTTTACTCCCTCCTTAGCCCCTCGTCCAAGTCCCCAGGAACTCTCAGGGCAGCACAGGATGGCAAAGTCACTGCCCCAGGGTCATGGCACCAGCAGGTTCCCCAAAAATCTCAGTTTAGAGGAGAAGGGAAGAGCTTTGCACTTGTGCTGCTGTCATTGATCCTCATGGATACCCAGCTTAAAATACCACATTTAGCTCTGATTGCTTTTAAGTCTCTTTGACCTGTGTCCAAAGGTGGTCTGGGAGCTGGGGGTCCCCAGAGGGGCTCTGCTTCCCTCAGGGGAGTGATCCCTGTAATCCCCATCCTCCCCATCCCTGGATCTTGCAGGGACTTCTACACTCCCAGACTATTTTGGGAGGGTTTAAAAATATCCTGCCTGCATTAATGGGCAATATTCCCAATGGCGCAGCAGCCCCGCGTGGACACGGAGCAGCCCTCGCCCCCCAGCCTCAGATATGGCCCCCCCCAGAAGCCTCTCAGGGCCGGCCCAGGGGCTGTATCCTGCGGTCCCGGGCACTAAACCCCATCCCAAATGGCTCTGATCGCCATGACAACGCTGACTTCAGCCTCTGCCACCTACTCAGGCTCAGAGACACTGGGTGCTGGCTGATGGATTGGTGCGGGCACTGGTGAGTACTCCCCGTGCTCCCTTTTCCCTTGGGATCGAGTCTTTCGGGTGGGAAAAGGGTATTTTTTCCTCCCTGCAAAGCCTCTGCTGGCAGCAGAAAGTGTCTGTGCTTAACTGCATCCGAAGGAGCCGGGCAGCTGGACAAGGCAGCATCGCTCCGGGGTGCTGCTTCTGCCTGCCGGAGGTGTGATGAGTGCACTGGCCTCGGCCAGGGCAGCGGGACCAGGCTTGGGCTTGCTGGGGACATATCGAGGAGCTGGGGACACGGCGAAGTGTTGGGGGCTCAGGAAGATGCCGGGACACATCAAGGTGCCGGGACACGGTGTGGTGGCCCGGGGGTCCCTGCCCGAAGCCCCGGCAGCTCGGAGGGCCGGAGTGCCCTGCCGGGGGGACCGTCCTCGGGGTGGCCGGGGCAGCGTGTCCAGCCCCGCGGCGGGGCCGCTTTCCTTACAAGGAGTTTGGCCGGAGCCCGAGCGGGGGAGCCGCGCTCGCCTCCTCCCGCCTCATTCATCGCAGCCCCGGCCGTGCAGGGGCCGCTGCTCCCCCGGCCCCGCCATCGCCCCCGGCCCCGCCATCGCCCCCGGCCAGCCCCGCGTCCCCTCCGGCCCTGGCTTTTGAGGTGGGAGGCTGCGTTTCTCTTCTCTCTCTGGGGTGTGAAGGGTGGGCGGAGGGCTGGGGGGTGGTCCCTGTATTTCGGTGGGGTGCTGGCCACCAGCGTAGGATGGGGATGCCGGCCACCCTGGCTCCAGGATGCGGATGGAGAAGGGGGGATTTTCCTCCCTCGTGCTGCTGAGCCCCCTTTTGCCCAGGCTGGGGGACCCCACGAGCCAGGCAGTGAGAAGGTACCTACCTGGCACGGCAGCGGGTGCCCCATGTCCCCCCTCGCTCTCTCCCGCAGGACCGAGGATGTCCTCGATGTTCGGCAAACCCCGAGCCAGCGCCGAGCGGCCGCCCCAGACCCCCCTCCCCGAGTGCAATGTGGCCATTCTGGGGTGCAGAGGGGCCGGCAAGTCAGGTGAGACAGGCACCCACCACCACAGGGATGGCCGGGCACAGGGGGGGCTGCGGGGGTGGCAGTGCCATGGGGGGACACCTTCCTCACCTGCCTCTTTCACCTCCTTGCAGCCCTGACTGTCAAGTTTCTAACCAAGAGGTTCATCAGCGAATATGATCCCAACTTGGGTAAGACTCTTTGTCGCCCCATGGAGTACCCTTCCCATCTCCCGTGTTTCCCACAAATATGGCATTTAGGGGGGAAAAACCCCAACCTACTCAAAATTATATGAAAAACAACAAGAAGGGCTGGATTTGATCCAAACCCACTTGTAAAAACAGAGGTGAAAGCAGCGCCCTCTCTCTCTGTGGGCACGTCCCACAGGGGAACATTGGCTCCTCTCATTGCCCTGAAGAAACCAAAAGCTGAATTCTTGGGGCTCCTTGGGGAGCTTCTGGTGCCTCCTGCTCACCCCAGGGGTGTCAGGCAAGGGAAGGGCTGGGGGAATGAGGGGGGTGCAGAGTGAGCGACCCTGGGGGCTGAGTTTTGCAGCAAGCAGTTCTGGGCATTTTTTTTTCCACTCTTTTGAGTAATTAATAACTATTTTTCTGGGCCTGACTCCAGGTCACAGGGAAGAACCATAAATGATTTATCGGGGACATTAGAGAGATATGGACCTTGTCCAGGAACCAACTCTGGCCCCTAATAATTCAGTGACTCTTAGGAAAGAAGGATAAATCCTTTCCTACTTGGATATTTTTGGGAATGTGTTTTCATCTTCCCACGTCAAAACCTTTCCGAAACACATCCATTAGGAGCTGGCCCAGAGAAAGCATCTTTCTCCCGGGGGAATGGCTCAACGGCTCTCCCTGCCTGTCCCGCTTCCAAAAGAAAGGGCCGTTCCTCTCGCCTGATTTATTGGGAAACAGCCCCATGTCAAGCCCCCATCTTGCTTTATCTCTTCAGGCTGAGGCTTTTAGATAAGGGTTGAGCGCTGGGCGCCTGTTGTGCTGGGCTCCTTCTTCTCTCTCCTTCTCCTGCTGGAGCCCACGCTTGTAGCACACAGGGGGAAATGAGCACTCCTAGCTGGGCTTGCCCAGCAGCATCACCACCAGTCTCCCAAAATCACATTGTCTCAGGAAGGAGCAAAGTGCGAGGCATTAGTGGAGGATGCTCCTCATCAGGGCTGAGATTGTTACACAGCATCCCAAGCATCCAGGGCTTTGCTTGGCTTTGGAGAAGATGGGGCATCCCAGCTCATCCTCACAACCACCCTGCTCCTTGCAGAGGACACCTACACCTCGGAGGAGCTGGTGGACCAGCAGCCTGTGCTGCTGAAGGTGATGGACACGGCTGACCAGGTGAGGCACTGGGGCACTGCTGGCGTGATCCATCTGGATTATGGCTGGATCATGTCTGGATCATGGCTGGACCACGGCTCAGCCGCAACTCTCACCCCCAGGATGGTCCCGGGAACTGCGAGCGATACCTGTGCTGGGCCAGCGCCTTCCTGGTCGTCTACAGCATCGAGGACAGGAGGAGTTTTGAGGGCTGCCAGCGCTACCTCGAGGTGCTCGCCCTGCACGCGCGGGGCTGCCAGCGCCACTGCCCCGTGCTCCTGCTGGGAAACAAGCTGGACATGGACCAGTACAGGTATGGGGCTGCTCCCGATGGGACAGAGCTCACAGATCCTCCCATCCTCCGGCTGGGATGCAAAACCCAAATCTGATTTTTTTTAAGGGTATTTCCACCCCTGTTAGTATTTGCCACGTCCTCCCACATCTCCAAGGTTCCTGCTCTCCTGCCCAGGGAATGATGTGTTTATTTTGAGCCTGTTGGTATTTTTCAGTGGGATGTTTTTCAGCTGCATGGTGAGGCAGCATCAGCACCCCTGGCAGGGCTTGAGCCAGAGGAGCCCCTCTGGACATGCCCTTCCTTTCTCTGCAGCCCTCTAGTCCTGGACTGGATGTGCCCGATGTGTTTTTCTGGCCTTTTGTGCTGCTCTGTGGTCCCTCAGGTCCCTGAGTCAGATGCGTTGCTGAACCCCCTGTGTTCCCAGCACAGAGGTGTCTCCCCATAGAGGGGTCTCCTCCCCACTTCCCAGTGCACTGCCATCACACCCACCCCCATGTCCCTGGCACACATCCCCAGCACAGGAATCTGTGTGATTCCCTAGGGACCCACACAGCTCATTACTATGGGATTTCAGGAAAGGCTGAACTCTTTTGGATTCACATACCCTGCTTGTCTCAGAGGGTCACAAGTGAGTGCTACCCTTGTGCCCACCGGGAAGCAGGCATGGGATGCAGGGTCTGCTGCCTGCACCCTTTTCAGGAGACTGCAGTGCCCCAAGGGATCCTGCAGCCA